ACAGATTTTCTTTAAAGAAAATTCATTACTTGAGTCCATCCTTTATTCCTTGTTCTTTTATGTATTCATATGCTTATTCACCAAATTGCTAGTCACTAAGGAGGATTCAAAAATGATGAAAATGTAGTGTCACCTTTAGAAAACTTTTGGTCTACCAGGATATTAGGATGTGCACCGATATTCATAACACAAGGCAGAAGAAAAAGCCTGGACTGCATGACAGAGATAAAATGAAATATGAGAGTGAGGGGGAGCAAGAAATCCCTTTAAGGTGAGGTATTTGGGGAAGAAGATGGTAGTAAAATTATGCCTTGAATGAAGAATATAGAAGAATTTTGACAAATAGATATGGGGAGGGAAAAAGCCATTTCAGGTTGAGAGTAAAATGCAAACAAAGATAAAGCACAAAGTGTGTGCAAGAGGGAGCAAAAAATCTAGTTTAGTTAGACAGAAAAAGTAGGAAGATGAAGGCTTGCAAGAGAGGATATAAGTAGATAATCATCAACCCTGAATCTTTTTTTTTTTTTTTTTTGGCTGCGCTGGGTCTTCATTGCTGCGCGTGAGCTTTCTCTAGTTGTGGAGAGGGGGGGTCTACTCATCATTGCGATGCTCAGGCTTCTCACTGCGGTGGCTTCTCTTGTTGTGGAGCATGGGCTCTAGACACGCAGGTTTCAGTATTTGTGGCACATGGGCTCAGTAGTTGTGACACACGGGCTCTAGAGCACAGGCCCAGTAGTTGTGGTGCAGGGGCTTAGTTACTCTGTGGCATGTGGGATCTTCCCGGACCAGGGGTCGAACCTGTGTCCCCTGCATTGCCAGGCAGACTCCTAACCACTGCTCCACCAGGAAAGTCCCCGAGTCTTTCTTGAACATTTAATTCTTTTATCTTGTTGACACTGAGATTAAGTTAAACCTTTGTATTCAGAGTTAGACCTTAGAAGGATAATTTTGACAGAAATGTAGAGAACCCATTGGATGAAACTGAAGTGGGGGAAAATGAAGGATTTAGCAAGTGTTTTTAACAGTTCAGGTAAGAAATACAGAACATCTTAACCAATGTGAGAGATGAATTTGAGGGACAAGGCAGAGGTGGAATCAAATGGTCGTAGTGACCTGCTGGTTACAGGGGGTATAAAAGAAGGCAAAGATAGTATTTGGGCAACTCGCAGGATGTGATGCTATTCATTAACTGAGGATGTGAAACGAGAGGCAGATTTGGAGGAAATATGATGAGAGTAGCCAAGGAAGTGACTGGAAGAACAATACCAGTTTATTATAAGCACACTTGAACCAAATCATGTTATAACCATAATGTTTGTGTGGGATATTCAAATCCAAAACACCATAAAGTAGTTCAGTTTACAACAATGGTAGCACCCTATTCAAAAATATCTGCATGCACTACGATCTTTCAAATTTAAACATCACATTCTAGTGTTCCTCACAGTTGGATTATTGTCTTCCATGACCCACCCTGAAATTTACTTTCTGTAGTTAAATCTCAACTCTTACTTAAAACACAGCCTATACCTTATTTAAACTTGTCAATTCTGTTTTAAAATCACATATCAGAATCACACCTCTATTGTCCATATTAATTCCCATATGATTCTTTTCATCTAAAAGTCCCTAGTTCCCACCCAAATTTGCACATCTTTAAGAATCACCTCAATACCATGCTATCTCGAAGCCTACCTTTACAGAACTAATTACATTTCATTCCTTCTTTTTTTATACCCACTATTTACACTCCTATGATTTCATTTTGTGTCAAAAGCTCATATAATTATATCACTCTTGCACAATTATAAGCTTTTGGGGTATAGAGAAAATGTACATCTCTTGATTTCTTAATTATGACAGGTGTTCAGTAAACTTAATTAAAACCAGATATCTACCAACATACATATATGATAATAAAAGTAGAAAAGTTCAATAGGAAAATACAAATTTTTGAATTATCATAGAAATTATACTTAGTCTAAGGGAAACAATATAAAATACTAGATTAAAGCAGCACTTCTCAAACTTGAATATGAGTAAGTTTTGGGGATCTTCCTAAAGACAGATTCCAGGGCCTAGCTTGAAATTTTGATTCAATGGGTCTGGGGTGGGGTCACGAAGTTACATTTCTAACAAATTCCCAGGTTACGCTGATGATTTCGAAAGAGGAAGACATTTGAATAGCGCTAGTTTAAAGGGTCAGTCTGACATCAGAATGCCTGGACTTAAATTCCACCACCACACTTCACTACCTTTATGATTTTATGCCTCTCATTTAATTTTATCAGTGAGAACTATTGATAAAATAGTTAACCCATAAAACGTGTTTCTGGCAGTACCTGACACATGGCATGTGGTCAAAAATTAGGTGTCGGTGTAAGAATTCAATGGTACAAAGAAGTCAACAGATTCCTAAAGACCAGAGTGGTTAAACTGTGGCCTGCAGTCCAGATCTGGCTCACCACCTATTTTGGTAATGCTAGTGAACTAAGAATAGTTTAAAAATTTTTACATGATTGAAAAGTACCAAAAGAAAAATATTTTCTAACACGTGGAAATTATACAAGATTCAATTTTAGTGTCCATTAAATAATGTTATTGGAATACAGCCACACAAATTTGTATACATATTGCCTATGGATGCAGAGTTAAGTAGTCACATGACAGACCATATGGCCAGGAAAGCCTGCATTGTATACTATCTGGCTCTTTACCTTAAAAGGTTGACAACCTCTTAATATAGCACCAAGTGACTTTTATCAGTAAATTACTGGGACTAGAACCATCACTATTTTGGTGTCTAGAGTGGCAATAATGGTCAATGGCTATAGTGTTCTGTTCTTAATGTAACTGTACCAAGGTAATAAAGGATTCTTAAGAACCGAACAATAAAAAGGATTGGGAAATACGATGAATTTGAGGGTTAAGTAGTAAAATGAATTAATTACCACTAAAGCTCCTCAAACCAGGAAATGCTATTAGATGCCCCAACCCACTTTTTAAAGAAAGCAATATTTATTGTCCTTTTCTGATTATAAAAGCAATACATGATTACGGTACTTGGAAAATACAAAAATGTATACAGAATATAAATCGGTCATATTCCCAAGAGTAGAGATAACCACGTTTAAACATTTTTGTTTTTACAAAATTGGAATGTTAACTATACAAAATGGTTATATATTTTTAATGTAACATTCCTCCAACAACTTCATATTCTGAGAACATTATGTTTAATGGGTAATAATATTCCATTGTTTGGAAATGCCATAATTCATTTATTTATTTCCCTCATCATTAAATCTTATTTTAAGCTTTTGTTATTATTTGTAAATAATGCTATAACAAACTTGCCTATGATGTCTCTGAAAAATTGGTGACTTTTTTCCCACTATGACAGGTTACTATAGTAAAGCAATTTTAGCCTAAATTTGGGCTGTTTTCAGGGAAGAAGAAGAAAGAGAAGATTAAAGAAAGACAAGGGTTGTGTTAATTGTCTCTCTCTCTCTCTCTCTCTCTCTCTCTCTCTCTTTTTCCAGATTTCCAACTATACCAACTTTGGAGATTTCTACCTTCTGATTAGTAACACTAAACGACTTCCATTATCTTTGACCAACAATGTTTATTTTTCTGTATACCCCATTCTTAAATCCATACCCTTACAATCAAAATAAAACATTTTGTTTCGTTTTGTTTGAATTCCCCCTTCCCTTAGAAAAAAAGGCAATAATCTTATCAAAAATATTTTATTTACAAAAAAATTCAATTATACTATACATCCTATACTGGAAATACATTGAATAATTGCTAAAATAAATACAGGCAATTAATTCAATCTTTTATAAGAATGAGAGAATTTGACATTTGAGTGTTATCAAAGCTTAACTTAGAACATAAATAGTTAAAAAGGCAAACTCAAGTTTTAGTTTCATTTATTGGCATGGTCTGTTTGTTTTCCACAAGCTCCCCAATCAGTGAGAGTCTAAATTGTAGAACGTTATATACTTTTTTGTGCTCTGAAGGTAGAATGTGCAGGTTTTTTCTTAGACAGGATGGATGAAATATAGAAGTCTACATAAAAAGGAAGCAGAAAGGCAGGAAGCACATGGTCGAACACTTCACATTTCTGCTTCATCACAATACTTTTTTTCTGCAACTCTTCATGTGTTCAATTGTTTTTAACACAGGTCTACACAGCACCGGCTACAAGGCAAGATGGGTCATGTCAAAAGTCAAACTGGATAACTGAGGCCCCGGAGTAGCTAAATTAACCAGGCCGAGGGTCCATCCATTTTTTTGTGTGTGCCAATTCTTGATACAACTATTAAACCTTGATATCATGTCAACTATGTAAACACATTTATTTAGGTCAAGAACAGAAGAGATGAAGCAATTATCTGTATAATTCAGAAAAAATCTTCCCTAGAAAGAGTACACATGGAGCTTGATTTGGCCAATTTTGAATCTATATGCTTTATCCTTATTATAATTTATCCCACTCACCCGTATAAACCTCATACTAACATGTAAAGTGAACTGACAATCTGGGGAAAAAAAGGTAGGTAAAGTATGTTCAACATATAGACAGGATCCAGTGAATACAGGTCACAGAACAAAAGGATGAACTGCAGTGTATTTGTCCAAATTATACCGTCAATTTTTCCCACTTTCCTTTTTACTTAGCCTGGGAAAACACTGTGAGAATCTCCAAAAACAATCTTTGATATCCAGATTTTGTCCACTGCTGGATGCCTAGTATTTTCTTTTGAGAACTGGCATTCCCTTTTTTTCAATCTTATGAAAAAATTGCACTTTTCTACCCCTTTGGCCTTGATTTTCAATGACTTCTTTTTTGTACACACAAGTACGAATTTCTACTCCCGAAGTGTTCCAACAATTAAAACTGTGTATATTGGCCTTTTCTAAAAGAAATGAAAAAAAGTTAAAATATTGAGAGTTTAAATACTTTTTCACAGAAATAAACTATTCAATTTTAAAGGTAGAGAGAGAGAGAGAAACATTTTATTCTTTCTATCATGAACATCATCAGTCGAACCAAGCTTCACATTTTGGGTAAAAATTTTTTAAGTATGAATTTTTTCAGAACCTATTTTATTAAAAAAAAAAGGAAGAGCAGGTGTATTTTGGCAGAGAAGTAAAATATAAAATATGCAAAATTTGTTTTAAAATTGGCATACAAAATTTTAAAACACAGTACAATTATATAAAAATACAGCACAGCCAACGGCCTGTAAATTTCCTTTGGCATTTCATTTGGTAGAGTTAAACAGAAAAACCTTTCTAAAAAAAAATTAGCTATCAACACAGTACATAAGTTAGGTTGTATATGTTGAAAGAACTTTTCCTTGAGTTTCCAAAATCCTTTTCTTACATGATAACCCACATAAAGCATGACTAGTGAGGTATATAGGGCAAAACACTGTTAGGCAGATGTACAATAAGGAAAAAGTGCATAAACAAAGAATTCTTCCCATTTTCATAGAAATATCAGGTTAAATCTGAGTTCTTCTTGATGTATCATTTTACTTTGGCAGAATTAAAATAAACCCATAGAAATGTCTTTGTTCAAGTCCCAGCAGCAGTGATATGTCTCCTTTGGTGGCATTATCTGATGCCACAATACCGCACAGTCCCTAGAGGAACTAAGGTTTTGTGTGTGTCTGCATCTGTAACTGCAAACATCAAACGTAAGATCATACATCAAGCACCATGTCATACTGTTGTCCCTTCTTCCGCCTGCCACATTTATTGATGAGAACCACATACAGTGTCAAAAGCATGACCCAATAGCATGCATACAGCAACGTTCCAACAATTAAAACTGTCTGTTTGGATTCTGAGAATGGCTTTTTAGATTCCTTATAAATGGTGAAAATCACACCACCCAGGAGGATTGTAAACCAGACTGATACTGGAATGAGTCCTATGAAATTAACAACAATGGTTTTCCTTCCAGATGTGCCCCACCCAGCTTTGTTTATCGTTGCAATTGCAAACATCTTGGCAGGAAGTAAACTTGACATGTATAACACTGAGTAGAGGGACATGAAGACCATGACGATATTTCCTCTAAGGCAGCTGGCAAAAGATGATTTTATGAGACCCACTAACTGGACAGTTAACAAGAAGAGGAGGATGTTCCAAATTTTACCCCTGTAGAAAAGCTGGATTACTGTGGCAATGAGAAAGAAAGGGAAGAACCCAGTGATGACTGCTTCATAGGTCATCCACAAGTGATGTTTATGAAACCACATGGCATTGTACAGCCACTCTCGGAAGTAGGACTTGCTCCAACGGGTCTGCTGGTTTAACCATCTGAGATATTCTATAGGTGTTTCAGTAAGGCACTTGGATCGAGCTGTGTATTTTGTTGCATAGCCCAGACTCAGCACTCGGTTCGTTAGATGCCTGTCATCTCCAAAACTACATTGGCTGCCCATAAATTCCTGATTGTACCAGTCTTCCACAAATTCATGCAATAAGGAGTTTCTGTACATTCCCAGAGGTCCACTAATGCACTGGACACATCCAAAATAAGACTGACAGGCCCTTTCTATGTTAAAAGCCATCCAGTATCTCACACTGCTGAGGAAAGATATCCAGGAATCATACTTGTTTAAAATCTGCAAGAAAAATAAAAGTAAAAATAATTAAATAAAGGTAAGCCACAGCTAAAAATTCCAACAAAATCTGCACCATTGTGAGGTTACTACCTAGAGTAATGTTTGGTTTTTTTGGGGTTTTTTGAGGTTTTTTTGTTTTTTTATAAATTTATTTATTTATTTATGGCTGCGCTGTGTCTTCGTTGCTGTGCGCGGGTTCTCATTGCGGTGGCTTCTGTTGTTGCGGAGCACAGCCTCTAGGCACGCAGGCTTCAGTAGCTGTGGTTCGAAGGGTATAGGGCAGAGGCTCAGTAGTTGTGGCGCACGGGCTTAGTTGCTCCGCGGCATGTGGGATCTTCCCGGACCAGGGATCGAACTCGTGTCTCCTGCATTGGCAGGCGGATTCTTAACCACTGCGCCACCCGGGAAGCCCATGTTTGTTTTTTTTACCCTTCTATTTAGCCTCTTTCCTTTTTTTAACACAATTTTACATTTTTTCTTTGAGTCTATATACTATATTAATTTGATAAGTTGGGTGTATGTGTTGGGACTTCTTGACAATAATATTTTTTCTACTCCATCACTCTCTGTACTCTTTTGTTACGTGTTTTGTTTCTTTTTCTTGTTATGTTATAAAATTGAGATTTTTTTTTAGGCTTTGGTTCTCAGCCCTTAAATTATTCTCCCACTGGCAGTCCAGTGGCTAAAGATTTCGCCTTCCAATGCGGGGGTGTGTGGGGTCCATCCCTGGTCGGGGAGCTGGGATCCCACCCACATGCCTCACTGTCGAAAAACCAAAGACATAAGACAGAAGCAATATTGCAGCAAATTCAATAGAGACTTTAAAAAAATGGTCCACATCAAAAAATCTTAAAAAAAAAATTATTCTCCCACTTTCTTACTATCTAATATTTGAAAGTTTTTAAGTCCTATTCTCTTCTCTTTTCAACTCATCCAACTCTATTATTCTCCTTTCTCCCCAGTTTTAGCAATGCCAGTGACAAAAGGGTATGCTCTGGCTTCACCCCAAATCTGGAATCCTGAAATAATGCTCTACACAAAGGCTATTAAAATTATTAGTTTCGGGGGGCAATATTTCTTAATTCTCTCCTCTGTCTCAATTTTGTTCAGTTTCATCTGGATTTTACATGCTTCCTTTTTATCACCAGGGTATTTCTTTGTCCATCTAGTGTACTTTCTTTGCCTTCACTATTACCATGCATATAAATATGGGTTATACAGCAACACAATACCTACATTTAAAGTCAAAACTCCATGTGCTTCTCACATCTTTTGCTAAAATCTAGTGCACTTTTGCAAAGGGCTCACTTTAATCTTCATGTATTTTCACATATTTGTTTTCCCATTCCATAAATTTCAAATCACCTTCATTAATATTTGTTTCACTTATTGTTTCTCCATTGATAGCAAATAATGGGAAATAAATAATAATTGGAAAACTCACTTAATTGTTCCTTTGGCTTTCTCTCTAGTGTAAATTTGAGTTGCTGTTTCTCTTTTTTTTCCTTTGTATTCCAATTTGGATTTTTGACCAACCATATATTGTTCAGCTTTTAAATACATAGTTATATGACATAGACTCCATCTCCTGCCATACCTCCATTTTTTAACCCTTGTACTAAATGAGTTACAACATCATTTTACCAGAACGTTAAGTCGTGGCTCAAGAAGATACGGCAGAAATTATTACACATTTACATTATATTTTATATAACTTATCAGCCACTACATACTTGTGTTATAACCCAGGATTAAGCAAAGAAATCATAAGTTACTTCAATTTAGACAGCAGAAGAGGTATAAAGTGGGTCCAAGGCACATTCTAGTATGTCTCTGGCACCAGAAACAATACCTGGCACAGATTTAGGTGTATAATAAATGTATGTTCAAAGAATCAGTAAGTGAGGGTACTACTAAAAGTGACTCATGCAAAAAGTGAACTCGTGTACCTGGACATCTCCCCCGACACCTCCAACCATGGGGTCTTCTTCTAAAACTTTTACCATCTCCACAGATGAGGCAGGGTCAAGCATGGTGTCCGAATCACAAACCTGCAAAGAAGAAAGTAAGAAATAAGTTAAAGAAAAGAAGATGATGAGTGTACTCCATGTAGTCAAAAGTGGGCATATATATTATGGCTTCAGCCTATTGTCACAAGGCCTCAATAAGCGAGTAACACAGGGATGAGAGTTTGCTACATGATGACCAAGACAAAGAACCCACAAACTCAATATTTAAGCTAATGACATGGCTGGATAGAACAGCTAAAGTGATGACCTAGGCATGTCATGTAGGGTGACCAGCTTTGCCTGGTTTGCCATGGATGTACGCAATTTTGGCAATGAAAGTCTCACGTCCCAGGTAACATCCTAGATTTCCAGGGCCTCGAAAACATCTTGGGTTGGTCACCATAGATATCTCTTTTTTAAAAAAGATGCCTTAAATAAGGCTTTTAGATATCTTATCCCTCAGGTCTGAATGATGATAGGAAACTCCTATGACAGTATTGAAAAAAAGGCATGTTTAACAGTGGTTATTTTTCTCAATTTTAATATGGTGATTAAGACGGGAAAGCAGTTCTACTAAGGTTGGTTGTATAATTAATTCTGAAGCAAGATGTCCATTTGACCTGGGCTTAGCCGATGACATTCCATTAGAAAGGAAACTAGCCTGATGGTCAGACCACCTTTTTATTTTAGAGTATTAAGTATTTGTCTAGCTCTTTATATATAAAAATAGATGTTAAATGATCTTAAGCTTTTCTAGAAGTGCTAATTATTATTCTTAAAAACAAACTTTATACAGGACAAAAAAACAATTTTGAAACCAAACCAACTACAACTTCAAGAAAATTATTAGGATTTGTCTATACCCATTAGCTGCTCCCAGAAATTTCTACTGGAGGCCAAAGGTACAGGGTTATAAATAGTACTTTTCTTCCCAAGCTGATTTATGAACTTATTGAATGAAACAGAAAAATAAAGGAGAGGAGAAACCAAAATATTACATGTATACTCGTAAAGCTGATATGGAGAATAGGGCTCATATCAATGGAGTAGCAGACTTTGTAACTATGTTCCCCAGAATTAGACTGATGTACCAATTCCAAAGAGCATCTAAGTGGGACTAGTCTCCTCCTGAAGACAGTTAATGCCCCTTCGAATGGTATGACAGATGCCTGCTCCTTCATGGCAGCTCACTTCTAGAAGAAAGCGGGAAGAAGGAGCTAGGCTACCCCTTACTCCTCCCGTACTCACCAATCAGATTAAGTCACTTCTCTTAGGGAGAAATTAGGTTCGTTACACCTGTGGATGGAGCTCCTTCCACACAATCAAAGAAAATCAAAAGCAGGAAAAGAGCTGCCACCTCTCTATTCCTGGTTGATATTAATAAAATAGTATCTTTTTCTGGAAAATGCAGGCAGGCCCAAGTAGACATAAAGTGATGAAAATTGACATGTAATGAACCAGTTTCACATCCCCATCTAAGCAATAAATGACATGACTGGCAGAGACGGGAGTGTTATCCGCAATTCCACTGTTTTTCTATGTAGTCTGGCTACATTTATGAATTTAATCAAGATTTAGTCTCTTTATTTATATAAAGAGCAAGTATTTGTGCAGTTCTCAGAGCTGCTTCATAAAAATAGTACAGATTTGATATACCAGTTTTGAAAGAAAAAACTTGAAAATAATATTTAGAAGTATGAACTCTGAGCTAAAGGGGATTTTATATGTCGGAGGAGTCCCTCACATACATAGCTAAGAAGTCTCAACATTTAAAAAAGAGTGCCTATCTTAATTTTATTAATAGTTTTTTTCTGAAAAAAATTAATATATATTAATAAAGAATGTTGGTGAAAAGAGCGATTTAAATGCATTATTGTAACATGACTTAAGGAGTATATAGGGTATCCAATTATAAAAAGTGAAATCATCACCTCTCTGGACTCAACTAATTATAACAATTTTAAAGTTAATTTCTGAATTTTGTATATTACTTTACCTATTTAGAAACAGGCATTTTCTAAATAACCTACTGCCCCTTTTTTGGGGGGGGGGCATTCTATCTGGTCTGCATGGTCTTACTTATTTTAGAGGAAAAAAAATAGACAGCAGCTAGGCATTAGTATTCCATTAAAAAAATAGGATTTTTCTGATACTTCAGTTTATACTCAAGGGTCCCAAGTCTCAGAAACCTAAGCAAATTCCCCCAATAGCGATATTTTGCCTCTCTCATGCCTTGTCTGTCACTGTTTTGTATATGGCTATAAGCCTGGCAGGCCAGTAACTAGGGTAGTAGAAAGTGAAGGCATAATTTCAAATCCACCTTTCAACCTCTCAGCAGCCAGAGTTTATGGCCACACCCACCTCTATTGACTCAAGCTGGGGAAGGTAAAACCAGAAAGCTAAAATAAGACTAAAAACAACAGGAAGGGGGCAACCTAGAATTAATGTTCAAGTAACTCCGCCTGCTTGTAAGATAAGCAAGCCAAGGGAACTGCCTCTCTGAAATGACTAAACTTGAACCAAACTTCTGAGGTTCTGCCCCTCCCAGTTTCCAACAGCAAAGTGCCAGAAGTTCTCTGAGAGAGATTGTTCACATGGTGAGTTTAACTGTCAGAAGGGAAAGCTCTCAGAAATCTCCTGGGAGGGGTTTGTTATAGTGGGATCAAAGAGTTTTCTAAAGAAGTTCAATTTCTGGATGCTCTTTGGTGATAGAATGCCAACTAGAAAACCACCGTCGATGACAGTCTGTGAAAGCATGTAGGTTCGTGGATATAACAGTATTAATTTGTTTGTGTGTAAAGGGTATATCTCTAGCCCTTCTTAAAATCAGCCTAGTAGAAACAGGATTTCTAGCTGTCTCCTCACCAATTAATGAGAAGTGTGCGATTTCACGAATGTTGGCTGTTTAGCTCTGGGCTAGAAACTGTGGGAGAAATACACCAGTTCACAAGGAGCTTAACCTCACACTGGGAAAAACCACAGGACTGATTTGCACACAGGAAACAACTGGAGGACAAATCAAAATGTCTTTCTGTCCACGCTGAATGTATCACTGTAATTTGTTTAAGCTACATGATCGCCAGTCATAAGATTTCTCACTAGGAGATATGGAAATGAGGCAAAGTCACCAAATTTTGACTAAAATGAGTGGAAAATGTCAAGACAAGAAGGCGTTATTGGGAGGAACCAGCCACCTCAGTCTTAACCACAGAATCATCAGCTAAATTGCTTAAGACCATGGCTCCCTGTCCTTCACTGTTCTAGCCAAGAGACAGTGCCGCCGCTTTCTCCGTATCTGAAACAGGAGTTGGCAAACTAAGGTCTACGGACGAGTCTGCCTTCCCACCAATTTCTATATGGCCTGGGGGTTAAAAATAGCTTTTACCTTTTAAATAGCTGAAAAAAACTGAAAAAGAATTTTTTGTGACACATGGAAATTATATGAAATTCAAATTTCAGTGGCCATAAATAAAGTTTTATTGGAACCCAGTCATGCACATTCAGTTTCATGTTATCTATGGCTGCTTTCACACTAAAACAGCAAAGCTGAATAGCTGCAACACAGACCATATAACCCGCAAAGCTTAATGGTTTCTATCAGGCCTTTTACAAGCAAGTATGCCAACCCTGAGCCTAAGAGAACTGGTTGGGGGGCCGGGGGTGGGTCTCTTTCATAAAAAAACAAAGAACAAACTAAAAGAACAAGTTGAGATAAAGTGTGTTCTAAGTCCCAATTTAACTCTACTAGAGGTTTTTACGATTGCCTCTCTCTCCTATTCTTATAATAGGCCAAGATTTGACTATTATAACAAATCAAGAGGCTGCAATGAAATCTTGAGTTCTGTACCTTACTACTTTTACGACTTTGAACAAACTGTTACCATCGTCATGATACCAGAGTGACACACTGTATGTAAAAGTACTTGGTAAATTACAAAGGCTCACAGAAAAGTCATATATGCCATTAGTATAGGGTAATAACCTTTAATTGTTTATACTTGCTAAGTAAACCCACTTGTTACCATGAACAGGTGACTCAGTAAAGAGAAGCACTAAAAGGAACATGAGAATGGATTACATATCAAGAATATCTTGGGCTTCCCTGGTGGTGCAGTGGTTGAGAGTCCGCCTGCAGATGCAGGGGACGCAGGTTCGTGCAGTCTGGGAGGATCCCACATGCTGCGGAGCGGCCGGGCTCGTGAGCCATGGCCGCTGAGCCTGCGCATCGAAGCCTGTGCTCCGCAACGGGAGAGGCCACAACAGTGAGAGGCCCATATACCGCAAAAGAAAAAAAAAAAAAAGAATATCTTATCACAATGAACAAGTTCAAAGGTATCCAAAACACCTATAGCAGTTAGATATATAAATTGCTATAAATGTGTTAAATAAGCTGTTAGACTGTAAGTCCATTCCAATTTATCTCACTGATCTTAAAGTTAATCTACCTCACAACAATTTAAATAAAAATATCCTGTAGAAATATTGTAATTTATTCTACCATATGTTTTTCAACTTCTAAGACCCAAGTCTAAAATGCTGAGTATCCATGTTTCACCTTTTTTTAAACATATTTCCTTTCAGATTGACTGGTGGATTCTCCACCTCTGCCTGCCCCGAACCACTTCAAAGGGCTCTGAGAGCTACACAGCAAGAGGAAACCTTCACTATTCTGGCTGCCTTCGATGAGGAAACAGGCTGAAGATAAATCAAGACTCATTCTGTCGCTACTGCCTTCACCCTTTGCCTGCTTGTAAACCTCAATCCTTTCTTAATCTTGACGCTTCATCTTAACCTGGACCCAGGGAGATGATTTATTTCAACCATGTTTGAAATTTACTATTGGTCATGATCCCACTGCCCAGTTCTCCTTCCAAAACTTAACCACATAGTAAATGGAAAGTACCCCCTACCCACTCTTTC